AATAGGATGCAGCAGTTATCACTTCCTCCTCCACCAACGTCCTCTTCGCCCTCACCCACACTGGCACCGTTCTCAACCAAGTGTCGAGAGCCTCATCCTTCTTATCTCCTGAGAAGGTTGGGGGTGGTTTCAGTTGGGTCTTGGGGTACCAAGGCTATTGCTGTCCCGCTTGTGGGACAGGTGGCGGCTGTGGTGTAGCTCCAGGCGCCGGACCAGAAGATGAAGCAGCAGCAGTCTGTGCTGCTGCTGCTGATGTACCGCTCGGCGAGGTACCAGACTGAGGGGGGTACGGGCCTGTTATCGCCGAGAATGGCAGCGATGGCAAAGCTGTTGGCTTACGTCGTGGCCTTTGCATGGCGTTCAGGATCTGGTCAGGGTGTCCTGGATAGCGTCCAGTTTGCTGTCCATGTATGCATGCATGGACATGATTCTCACTTTGACAATCTTCATGTTATTGTCCAAAGCCGAGTCATCTAACCCCTCTAAAGCAGCTTTGTCTGCTGCCCTACCCTCTAGTCTGACACTTCTATGGCCTTCTTAAGTTGCTCCTCTAACCTTAAGCGGATCCTTTCTACTTGCTGGGGCTCCATCTGCTCCCTGGTGCGTGGAGGCGGCAAGCTGGACTGCAAGCACGCCATCTGACTGACCCCAGACCCTGTTGTACTGGAAACGGACTGTCCTGTAGTGTCTGGCATTCCAAACGTGAAACCGAACGAGGTTGCTGTAGTTGATGCCGCAGATGTAGCCATTGCTACTGTGCTAACCGCTGCTGCTGCCAATGTTCTCTCTACAGCTGCTGCGGATTCCCTCACAGTCTCAAGATTACGGGGCCTTGCTTCGGCCCGAGTCTTCTCTCGTCTCTTAGTAGTAGGACCTGGAACACTACAGGTACTCTGCCTTCGTTCGTCAGCTGTACCTTCACCACCCTCTGATCCACTCATCAACTAGGCAGACACTGTCTGCACTAGTGTCCACTCTGGACGGACCGCAGCATGCGTCTAACCGGTTCTTAAAATAAATAAAATAAAAATAAATATCCAGCGAGTTACCTAGACTACTAGTCAAGCGGCATCAACAGCATTCACACAGACTGTACACATAATCTAAGTTTATTTTGACTAGTTCTCTTACAGCATCTTCGAGGAGAACTGGCTATGGTAGAACACTACACTTCTAGTCTAGGCTGTGTGTGAGGTATTAGNCTTCGAGGAGAACTGGCTATGGTAGAACACTACACTTCTAGTCTAGGCTGTGTGTGAGGTATTAGCAGTCTGTCAACCAACTAATAAAAAATCTGTGAGGTATTAGCAGTCTGTCAACCAACTAATCAAAAATAAAATATTGATTTCCAAAAAGATGTATGCACAATGAATGGGTATGGTTGTGTATGACTGTCGAGTCTCAATTGGAATCTCCCTCCCCTGTATGCAACTTGCCTGTAGGCATCATGAAGCGGCAGTGTCTAAGGTGTGCATTAGTGGCCCACCCCTGTGCTCGAGATGTATGCTTATGACCAGCCTGCGCATTCTTTACCCTCACATGCAACGAGTCTGACTGATCTGGCTGATCAAGAGGCATTTTAAGGACAGCCCCCAAGGTCCTCAATAATTATTTAACGTCGCAGACAGGACGACGATCACAGCCGGTGGACGGTTCAGACCCCTGCCAGAAATGTTTATAGACGGTCTGGAAAGCGTCTGCCTAGGACTGGTCAGTCCGCACACCACTTGTATCAGCGCAGCAAAGAGCCTTTAAAGGACAAAGCAGCATGGCCTGCGTGTACCGTGGGTTGGCATGGTGACCGTGACCCGTGCTTCGAGCAGGGCCCTTCAGAGGCACCGCCCTTTTCTGCCAGATGCGCCACCGGGAAGAAGGTTGTCTCTCAAGGTAGAGTGCACACGACTCCTCACACAAAAGAGAGGACACTCGAGGTTGGACTCACTTCCTCACGGTAAGAAGAGATCGAGAGGGTAGATAATGGGAACAATGTACCTGGAGATAGCTGTCTCCAACCACAGATTTCTCACCAATTGAGCCGACGTGCATTTAAATGACCGGTCATAGCCTCGGTACCACCCACAACGAAATGCAGTGCCACCTCAGCCAAAATGCCATGTCAGGCTCTCATCATCATACATACATCCGCTGTCGCCACAGCTCCCACGCTGTCGCCACAGCCTTCCAGCGGCCGGATCGTCTACCTGGGCCCCGATCTATCAAGTGGGCACCAATGGATCCTTGCTGCACAGAAGCATCGTCAGCGCACCAAGTAACAATGTTGCCAGTGTCAGGTAAGCGACGATCACGGACCAGCTCCGATACCAAATTGCAAGGAATACGAGTGGGAACGATGGACAGAAAACGAAGTTGCGAAATCACACAGATGTCCAAGTAGTCGTGCACAAGCAGAGAGTGCAAATGCACCGAGATCCCATCCAAATAAGAGCAGTACAATGAAGTAATGAGCCAATGTTCAAGCCCTCAGGCCACACCAACACAGTATCCAAAGTCGCTCCTCTCTGTTTGGCACGCAGTGCCCAGCCTACACTACTTGACTATCCTACCTACATCAGCATTCTCACAACAGGCTCACTTCGACTCTCGAAGGCCAATGTACATGATGTCAACACCACAGCCAACCTCGTCCATGTACCAGGTACGTATCTCACCTCCCCTTATCAGACCCTGTCCACCCACACTCGCTTCCTTCCTGAAGACCACCGATCGCCCTGTTAATCCCTAGCCCCCTGCAGCCCGGCTATGGCTGCTTGCGCTCTGCTGCCCAGCAGCGCCCCTCTTCGCCTCTCACGCGCCCGCACGCGCTCTGGCCTCAGTGCAGCACACAGCCTCTAACGCAGCAGCGCAGCAGCGTGACCGCATTGCCTGCATGGGCCAGAATTCCCCGCCCCTGGCTGCCCTCCTTCCTATATGGAAGTGGCAGCCTCTGCGTGGTTGAGAGTTGGAAAATTTGGTCACGTAGATCTTGTATTTTGCCTAAATTTGTCGGTTACTATGCACAAGTTTATAACGGAAAATATTTTGTTGGTTTACAGATTACTGAAGATATGGTTGGTCATAAATTTGGAGAATTTGCTTCTACACGTAAAACTTCGAAAACAAAAACGAAACGACAAATCTGCAATTAACTTGATGAAAATTACATGAATAATAAATAAAACACACAAAAACACAATGTGATTGCTGTGCGCTTGCTGTGCACTTCTGTAATGTATATAAACTATTGGCTTTTTTTGCATCCAAAGCGTATTTTATTGAAGTTCATCATACATACGGCTGGAAGCTTCCAGTATCTTCCGGTTGGGCCCCAGTGCCTGCGCCCAGGCCCGAGGCCCTTTACAGTTGGGCACGGCCTGAGTCTCCAGACTTTGGCTGTTTGCTGCATTTGCACAGGACCCAGGGTAGGTACGTCGACAGTGCTGCCTTTGCGTAGGCCTGTGGCCGCTTTGTGATGTATCGGCCCTGCATTGTGAATGTGCGCGAGCGCAACTTCCAAGGCCTGGGCCAACTGTGTGACGCAGCTTAGTGAGACTCCCCGTCCACTCAACCAACTGGCGGGCTGCAGCAGCCTGAGTACCCACATACGAAAATGCCGAATTTTGGCCTCTGATGAAAATTCAGGCCCACCTTCACTTAGGGCGGGTACTTGGCTTGCTGGGGGCCTCTGCCCAGAACATGTGCATGTCTGATAGGGGACCCGTGAGAGCTCATTCCTCGCATCTTCCTCAACGAGTTTAAACTTTAAATTGTCCCTGTCCTGACTAGTCCATGACTGGAAGCCGCAACATCATGGGTGGGTGGCAGGATTGGACTTAGTAATCGGGAAATAAAGTATAGGCGCATGCTTGCTTGCAGCGATGTGACCTGTATGAAAGATGAAAACTAACCTACATGGCCAATAGAACTACAAGCTAAAAGTTTTTAGACTTTGGTTTGAGCCATTGCGGCTGATGCTCCGAATATCATGGAAGCAATACTACAAAAAAAGGAAGATTGTTTGCCATGTTGGATCATAAAAAACTGGTTTCCTAGTAAGGGAGCGGGCATTGGGACTGCTGGATTTGTTGTGGCACGCCCTATGTTGAGGTTTCTCTCGCAGAGCTGGAGAAGGAATGACCAAACAGTATCCATTTGCTGGAAGGAGTTCGGCACACCCGGGTGGAATTCGAATATGCATATCCAGTGTGTTGCACATTCCCGAACTCCTGTGTGAATTTTGGCGTACGAGGATATGATTTTGCCTTGCAGTCAGGGTTGCATCCCTGCCGACCGCCGACCGTATTGTGGCGGACCGGTTGTGCCGACCAGTCGGCGGTCTGCTGAACAGTTCAAAAAAAAAAAAAAAACGTCCACTGATGTTGTTTCAAATCCGAGTTGGGGGCTGTACCACGCTCGCTGAGTACAGCCCAAATCTGCTGAGAAACTCTTGGGGATGGGGGGGGATATTGTGGTGTTTTGGGGTTGGAGTATAGGGGAGTATAGGGGTGGTATAGGGGGTATTGGGGGGGGCCGGGGGGTAATGAAGGTGTTGGGGGCGGGTTGAGGGCGGTTTGGGGGTGGTATTGGGGGACGCTATGGGGGTGTTGGATGTGTTATTGGCGGTTCTGGAAAAAAACTTCTTTTTTTATTATTTGCGGGGTGCCGACGACCACCGACTGGTAGGTGCCGACCAACCGATCGGTCAGCGGGCCGGCAGCCGACCAGTCAAGAGCCGCCGACCGTCGGGGGGTGCAACAATGCTTGCAGCGGATCCTTGGTTTGCCATGCTAGAGATGATTGCAAGGAGAGAACTATTCCCTTAACCTGTGTACTCTTGGTTTGGACTTGGAGTGAGTGCCCACAGACAGTCGGAGCTTGGCTGATGCCCTCATCGAATGTAAGTGGCACCACACGAAGATAGACGGGGCCGAAACCTGCTAGCACAGCTTATTGCATGTTCACATTGGCTCTGCTGCTGTCTTTTGTCGTGTTCTGTTTTGCAGGATTTTGAGCATGGCGATGTTCCTCTGGGAGTCCAAGCATCGTTTGCATACGAGTTTGTGCCCAGTGTACAGCTTCAGGTGAATATTTTATATGACGTTGAACCTTCCTCATGTTATGAAATGCTTTACTGGATACACTACATTATAGCAGTGTGTTGCATTGATCTGATTCACCTCTGACTGTCATCTGGCAAGGATTTCTTGCGTCTGCCTAGCTCTGTGCAGTTTTTTTTTTTTTTTATTGGCTGTGACTTTCTTTTTTGTCTTTACGTGTTTATGGGTGTGTGCTTGTGTTCATTAAGCGCAACTCCACAAGGAATAGGGTGTCTGTGTCAGGTAACTTTGTTAGGCTCTGCCGACACATCCAGGTTGCCAAGGTCCTAAGAATGCACAGTGGATGTCAAACACAAGCACGGACTGATAGAATGGAAGCATTACACCGTTGAAAGAGTATGTACACAGAAAGAATCAACACACACTGTGGGGAGGCTAATCACAGTTGGGGGATTTCCCTGCTCAATCATATATTGAAGAACAGACGAAGACGAGGAAGAAATGAGGGAGGAGAATAAGAGCTCGAGATATGGCAATGGCTACAAAATTATCTCCACCTCAACTTGGAGAAGCGGTTAACAGAGCCCTAAATTTTCGGGTTTTTTTTTTTCAGGGTCGGTATAACAAACTTCACACACCTTCTAAGCCAGACTTTGTCACCAGTGCATAGAGTGGACACCAACTAAACCAACAACAAAAAAAAAAAGCAAGGAAAAAAATGGATCAAAGGGGCGTTAACTCCCAAGGCAAAAAGTTTGTTTTCATGCAAAATTCGCTCTTTTCAGTTTCCAGGATTTTCAGGATTTCAAGGGCTCGCCATCATAGTAATCCACAAGACCCCAACAAACACCAAACTTGACACACGCAGACCTTGACCCAAAATAAAACAGGCCCCCCCCCAAATAAAACTGAAAAAATATCCCCAAATGCACTTTTCAGTACTAGGGGGGGTTACCTGGGTCTGGAAGTAGGGGTCCCTGTTAAACCACCAGTACTTCCTAAAGTAGTGCCCGTTAACGCGCCACGATTTTTGGAAACGTACGGGTCACTACAGGAGCGCCCAAATTCATCCAACTAGAAACGTTTCTACTCTAGGAGTTTTTTTCTGCGGCCGATAGCTGGGCCAAGTACTGGTGGTTTAACGGCTTGTGTCAACTTGTAATCAACCGACCTTCAACAAAGAGCTCAAGATATGGCAATGGCTACAGAATTATATCTCCTGCGTCTTCTCCTCGTCAACGCCTCCCCAATCGTCAAAAATAACAGTGAATCAAATGTGCCTTGTAAAACAGCCCCACCGAGAGAGAGAGTGATGCAGTGAACCTCGCAATTCCAAACGAACTCGAACATGGAAGGTGAGTGCATTCACAGGAAGTTCACACTGCACCAGAGAGATGACACATGAACCAGCGCCAGATATGTTCCCACTTAAAATATGAGAAGTTTAGAATTGTGGAGTTCAAGTAACCAGTGGCAGTTGCCGGAACTCGCCACTGCAATCCTGCCTCAGGTATGTACTCAACTTCTCCTCCCTTGATGTCTGGTCTCCCTCTCTCTCTCTCCCTTTAGGATCTGCCCTGAATACACGGCAGTTTCTATTCACTGTGCATGTTCGAGTTGGTTTGGAGTTGCGAGGTTCATTGCACAGACAGAGAGAGAGAGAGAGAGAGAGAGAGAGAGAGGTTCATTGCACAGAGAGAGAGAGAGAGAGAGAGAGAGAGAGAGAGAGAGAGAGAGAGAGAGAGAGAGAGAG